ACCACGGGAACAGAGTCCAGGGGAGGTGGTTTAATACTAGTATCCCGAATAAAAACTAAGTAAGACAAACACCCCTCTCTACCAATCTTTGAGCATGGATAAAAGAGATGACCTTGCTAGGATAAGAACTACTAACACTCTTCCACTCAACCCTCGGAACACCAAGCATATCTAAAGTCACAGTCTTAGCATTACAATCAAGGACAACATGATAAGGAGAAAGCCAATCCATACCCAAGAAAACATCAAAGTCTACCATCCCCAGAATGATTAAGTCTACCCAAGTGTCATACCCAGCCAAAGAAACAAGATAGGATCGATACACTCGATCCACCACTATGGGCTTGCTTACGGGTGTAGAAACACGAATAGGTACAATCATGCTATCACATATCATATCAAATTTAGCAGCAAAGTACGTAGACACATAAGAGAATGTAGAACCTGGATCAAACAACACCGACGCAGGTCGATGGCATACTGGGATGATACCTGTAATAACAACATCAAAGGTCTCCATCTCAGGTCTCCCCGGGAAAGCATAGCAGTGGCCTTCTCGTCCACCTCCAGCATGAGTGGTACCTCTACCCCCACTCTGCTGAGCTGCCACACCACTACTAGAAACTCTATCACCTCTACCTGACTGAACTCTGCCACGACCTCTACCCTGTGGTGCTGGTGGTCTAGTCTGGAATGAAGAATTAGGTCGAGGCCCACCACGACCTCTTTGATAAGTACACTGCCGCATTAGATGAGCAGGATCTCCACAAGTAAAACAAAATCTCTGACCTGAGAACTGTTGTGTGGACTCTGAAAACCCACTATAATTGCCTCGCCTTGTAGGTCGCTGCTGTGAACCGTACGAGCCCTGACCCGGGCTATAAGAACCCCTAGATGTCTGTCCACCCTCAAAAGTTGTCTTAGATGCATGAATAGGTCCCCGCTGCTGAAAAGAACCACTCACTCTCTGTGATCCCCTACCTCCAGATGAGGCACCATGAAACTGACATGATATACAGGACCTTTTAGGGTCCCCAAACTCCTCTCTCTCCATCAATTCTGCCTCTTTGGCGGCGCTCACGATGGACTAGAAAGAATCCCCCCTCCCTAGATGTCCGAAACACAGCTGACCTGATAGAGAAAGTCAATCCCATCACAAATCTATGGATCCTCTCTATCTCATTTGGAATAATGGCCAACGCATGCCTAGAAAATTGGCAAAAATGCGCCTCATACTCTGTAACTGGTAACCCATTCTGTCTCAGACTCTCAAACCTCAAGTGACTCTCCTCTCTCACGCTCCATGGGATAAAACGATCTTGGAATGCACTAGCAAACTTCTCCCAAGTCACTGGAGGAGATCCAACTGGAAAACCCCCCGAATAAGTCCTCCACCAGTCTCTCGTTGGTCCACGAAGCTGGAGTGTAGAATATCTAACCCCATGTGACTCAGCTAATCCAACCACCTCTAGTAACTCTCGACAAGCATCCTCGTTCGTCCCACCCTAAAAGTGAGGTGGATACATCTTTCAAAATCTCTCATACCTACGCTACTCATCCTATGTCAGAACAACCACTGGTGCAATTTGACCCCCAACTGCTGGTGCAACATCATTCTGAATCGCGGGATCTACTGGTAGTTTCCCCACCGCATCATGAACAACTGGAGCTTGCTGCTACTCTTGGGTCTGAGCCCCCTCTCTAGTACGAGAGTCATGTGGTGTGGTAGTCACACAACCACCCTGAGAAAATCCCTCTAGCACACTTAACACCCTCAATAGTGTATCCTGAAGCAAGTGTGTGACTATAGGATCTGGAGGAACCTGGTCCTCTCTACCATCAATCTGATGATCTGTAGAGACCTCTCTAGCACGACCTATCACTGGTACTGCTCCACGTCCATGACCTCTGGCTACTATCGTACTACTAGCATGACCTCTAGCTTGAGATCTACCCCTACCCCTAGCTGGGGCCTCAACAACTGCCTCGGGAAGTGCCTCCCCTTTACCACCAGTAACATTAGTTCTAGTCCTCGTCATCTGTCAAAAGAGTATACAACACCTCATTACTAAAGAAGGTGACTACGCACGATGAGAAAGAATGAACAAAAAGGAAGTTTCCTAGTAATCTTTATAGTCTCTCAGAGATGAGTACAGACGTCTCCGTACTTTCTATTGAGCTTCCGAATTAATGGGATCTATTCAAGTATATATATTCACAATAAGGTTTCAGAACTAACAACACCCACATTATTAACCTTGACCAAAAAAAATTCACCTAGATTTATAATCAAGTTCATAATTCTTGATGCCAACTAACATTTCAACTATCATATTTTCCAAGTTCCAAGTCTAAGGTTAAGTCCCATTTTTTATTCCAATACCAACTCTATTAATTCATGTACGATATAATATACCAATAATGAATTTCCTATCTTAGTTAGCAAAAACTTGAATACTTACCTATCTAATCAATGGCATAATTAGTAATTGTCACTTTCCTGGTAAATTCTCAACCTTGCAGAATGCAAATGTTTACATATATTTTCCCTTCCAATTACTTTCAACAACCCAATATAATAATACATTATTTCCATAGAATCATTAATGTTCCATGATAATGTTTTACTCGTAAATTGTGTACCATGCAACAAATATACTCCACTTGCCATTTTATATTGCAGTTATATTTATGCCTATCAAAAATTCATTTAATACTAATAACAATAAGTTATTCCCATTCAACAACCAAATGTATATAAACAAATATAACCAATAACATATCTCCAGCCATTATATAAAATTACTAAATAACTACTGCTCAATCACTTGTAACCGTGTCAACAAAATATTTTTTCTCCTTTAACCTTGAACATATTTTACACTCAATATTGCTGCTATGCTTTACACCTCCCGTAATGATAATAATATAATAATAATGTGACTCTCCATTAAGTAAAACAAAAATATATATATACATCTATGAGACATACCAAATCGAAAATGTTTACCTTAATGGTTTCTTTCCCCACGAACGGCACCAGGAGTATTTCCCTCCTCCTCTTTTCTAAAATAAACCCTAGTAAGGAGTATTTCCTCTCCTTCTCTTTTCTTAATTTATTTTTTTTTCAGTTGTGATTTATACATTAAAACCTTAAATAACTTAACTCACTTTAACCCACTAAGCATTAACTAAAGTTAGTTATTTAATAATTAACCATCAATTAATTCACTCTAGTTAAATGAATATTTCAAATTTCCAAAAATGACCTTCCGGGTCATTACAGTCTTCTAGAAATGAGAGGTAAAATGAGGACCTCTATCTGAGATGATGGAAACTGGAACCCCATGCAACCTCACAATTTCATTAATGTAACAATTGGCATAGTCCTCCGCCGAATATGTAGTCTTGACCGCCAAAAAGCGATAAGACTTAGTTATCTTGTCAACTATCACCCAAAACAAGTCAACGAGTACGAGGTAACATTGTGATAAAATCCATATTGATCACTTCCCATTTCCAAGTAGGAATGTTGATCTCTTGAGTCATACCCCATAATTTTTGATGTTCTACCTTGACTTGCTGGCAGTTGGGGCACTTAGTCACAAAATCTTGTATATCCCTCTTCATGCCATTCCACCAATAGACTTCCCGCATATCGTGATACATCTTAGTGGCACCTGGATAAATATAATATCTAGAATTATGGGCTTCTACAAGAATATGCTGTCTCAGTTCACCCACATCAGAAACACACAATCTACCATGATAGCAAAGTACACCATCTCCCCCTTGAGAGAAAACCTCCACTCTCTGATTGTGGACTGCACCCTTAAGTTTTATCACGATTGGATCACTTCTTGATTTTCTTAACCTCTACTAACAATGAAGATTTTGCCCCATTCTGAACTATTACACCACTATTTGATATTCTCATAAAAGGCTAACTCCCAAGCGAGCAAGCGTGTGAACATCCTTTACTAGTTCCTTCCTTTCTTCCTCAACATTGACCATACTACCCATAGATAATTTGCTAAGAGCATCTGCTACTACATACTTCCTACCATGATGGTAATGCACACTCATACATAATCCTTAAGGAACTCAAGCCATCTCCTCCGGTGAAGATTCAACTCTTTCTGGGTGAACACATATCGAAGACTCTTATAGTCAGTGAACACATCTACGTGAACACCATACAAGTAGTGTCTCTAGATCTTTAGTGCAAACACCACTACTGCAAGCTCGATGTCATGAGTTGGACAATTTTTCTCATGCACCATAAGCTGCCTAGAAGTATAAGCTATAACCATATATTGCTACATCAACACACAACCTAGGCTTAATCTGGATGCATCATAATATATCACATAAATATTACAACTCTCTGGTAGAGTCATGAGAAGAGCCGCAATCAATCTAGTTCAATTCTGCAATGATTTTCTCACAATCATCTGACTATTGAAACTTGACTATCTTCTGAGTCAACCTAGTCAATGAAAATCCTTCCAGGAACCTTCTGTAATAACCCCCTAGACCTAAAAAATTTCTGATATTGCAAAGGTAGGTCTGTGCCATTGTTTTACTTCTTCTATCTTCTGCGAACATACTAGGATCCCTAGACTAGATATAATATTTTCAAGGAAATTAACTGATTGTAACTGAAACTCGCACTTGTTTAATATTGCAAATAACTGGATATCCTTGAGAGTGTGTAAAACAACTCTCAAATGACTCTCATGTTTTTACTCATTCCTAGAGTAAATAAGGATATCATCAACAAAGATGATAACGAACAAGTTCAAGTACTGCTTGGACACTCTGTTCATCAAATCAATGAAAGCTGCAAGAGCATTGGTTAGTCCAAATTGTATAACAACAAATTCATAATGACCATACTGAAACCTGAAGGTTGTCTTTGGAATGTCATTATCTCTGACTCTAAGCTAATGATAATATGATCTAAGCTCTATCTTTGAGAAATGGTTAGCACCCTGATGTTAGTCAAATAAGTCATCAATCCTGGGGATGGGATACTTATTCTTGTTTGTGACCTTTTTCAACTGCGTATAGTCAATCCACATCATGAGAGAATAATCTTTCTTGTTTACAAACAATACTGGTGCACCCCATGGCGAAATACCAGGTCTGATGAAGCCCTTATCTGAAAGGTGACTGCTTTTTCTATTCTTTAAGTTCAACTGGAGTGATTTTATAAGGAGGAATAGAAATAGGCTGGGTATCTGGAAGGAGAACAATTCCAAAGTCAATTACCTTTTGGGAGGGACTCCTGGAAGATCTTATGGAAACACTTCTGGAAACTCATTGACTACACTGACTCAAGAGTTTGGGTTTCGGCATTAGAATCCTTGACCCAAACTAGATGATAGAGATAACCTTAGAGATCATATTTCTAGCCTTAAGGTAAGAAATGAATTGACCTATAGGCGCTAAGCTACTACCCTTCCATTCTAAGATTGGTTTGTTTGGAACTGAAAATGAACAATCTTAGTTCTATAATCAACGGAGCCATAAAAATGTAAACAATCCATGCCTAGAATAACATCGAAGTCTTCCATTTCAAACTCTACAAGATTTGCTGAGGTGACTTTCTAAAAGATTCTAATAGGGCAATTTCTGTATACCCGTCTGGCTATAACAGGGTCACCAACTGGAGTAGAGACTGAGAAAGGTTCTGAGAGAGTTTCTTGACTAACACTCAATTGGACTACTATGTAAGGAGTTACAAAGGATACAATATCCCCTATATCTACTATGCATAATCATCAAGGTCAAAGACTCGTAATGTACCAGTGACTATATTAGGAGAACTTTCCTTATCCTGGAGAGCCTGAAGAGCATACAACCTGTTCTGGCACTGAACGCCACATGTACCAGATGAGTTACTCTGCTGTGTCGGGTGACTTGCTGGTGCTATTGAAGTTGTAGACTAAGCTCTACCATTGCTACCTCCTTGAATCTATCTAGAAGAAATTCCCTCAACCTATGGTTAGACTGACCCTATCTAAAACATTCTTCCGTTCTTGCGTGGCACTCGCTCGGATGGTTTTTATCGAACATAGGGTAAGTGGGGTAAGTTTTGGTGCCTGAAAGACTTCACTGAGTCTTAAAGAATAGTTCCTTAACATTCTAATGATACCTGTTCTTGGAGGATGGAACACTACCCGAGGAAGGGGTTGGGGATGAAAACTTCTACTAACTCTGCGAGCGATTTCCTCCACCCAATTTCTTCTAAGAGTAGTCATAGTTCCCACTCCTAACCTTATTATTCTTTTTGGTCTGTTCCCTAAGATTATCACCCTCAACCTACTGAGCATGAACCATAAGCCTAGAGATGCCCACATCTCCCAGTAATATAGTATTTCTACACTCCATTTTCACCAAATGTGATATTCCATACAAGATCTTATTCATCTGAGCCGTGGAGTCCGCAACTATGACCATAGATGGTGAGTTGATTAAACTTGAGCCCATACACTTGGACTGTTACGTTACCTTGCCTTAAGTTCATAAATTCCTGAGCCTTTGCTTCTCTCAGCTCTATTGGGAAAAACCTTTCTAGAATGGTCTCACTATAGCAATCCCAAGTCATAGGAGCTGCATCTATACCCTTATTCTCCTTCCACTGAGTGTACCAGATATGAGCCAAATCTTTTAGCTGGTATGATGCAAACTCAACCCGATTATTCCCAGTTGATTGCATCACCTCAAAGAACTTCTTGATATCATCCAAGAAATTTTGAGGATCTGCACCAGTCTGCGATCCTAAGAACTCATTCGGATTCATCCTAACAAAGTTACATACCCTTGCTTATGCTAATATACCATTAGAACTCATAGGAGCTCGATCCCAATTGTTCTTCTTGGTGACACTTTGAGCCAACATCTAAATGGTATTCCTATGTTTAGCATTGGAGACTTCCTTATATGAGACTGAAGGAGTTGCGTTTGCATTCCTGGTGTTAAATCTATAAAGAGGCATAATCTGAAACGTAGAACGTCAAGATAGAATGGAATCAAATCATACGTTATGCATAATAAGAGTAATAATCTAATGAGGATTTTCTTAAAACACTTTGTAGACTTCCTCTTATTAAATGTGGTGTACTTCATGCCCATGAAAATAACTCTACTTAGTGCGGCTTTTCAGACATCCAAGGTCACTTAAATCTAGTACTCTGATACAAAATTTGTCACGCCCTGAGCTACCCCAAGATGCGGACACGGGACCTAGGACCACAAGTGATCCCAAGCTAACTCTGCTGGTATGATCATGAACATACTAAAGATAATAAGCTAGTGTGGAAGCTAAATGTTAAATAAAATTAAAATATGGGGAATACCCATATAATATAATTGAGATAAATGATATACTGATGAATTTAATACAATGAAGATAGTAACTCAACTTTAAGCTGAATGTAACTATGTATGAAATAAACCTCTAACTGACTAGAAATGCTGGGATGAGCCCCAGCTAAGTCTAGCAAAACTAAAACTAATTGAGTAAAAATATTAAAAAGAAACTAATGACTATTGTCCTCAAATAATGAGGAGTCACCACTGATTCTGCTGAACATGAGATCAGGAAACAATGTAAACATGATCTAGATGCTGAGAACCTCAACCTACATGACGAGAAAATATGGCGCACGTATGTGTCAGTACTTGAAAGGTACTGAGCATGCAAGATAGAGTAAAGCGAATAACATATAATTGAACAAGGCAATAAAACAATGAAATAATCTGAACATGATAAATATACTTAATGCTGAGATTACTGAATGCAATGACCAATTTATAACATGCTAAAACTGAACACTGGATATACCAATAAAAAGGTCAATGCAATAAAATCTTATTGACTATGAGATCTACTAATAAACAAGAATAAAACCATATGAGATACTTGTGGAGTCCGATGTATACACCTTATCGAGAGGACCCAATATACCCTACAAGAGGCATAAAGGCATGATGGTGTGATCACTAAGCTGATGCCCACAAAGGGACTTACAACCTACGTAGCTAGTAGTTCGAGGATTATTTGGATACGTTGAAACCTAGTCTAAATCGGTATTATGATACTCTGAATGAATGAATGGTTAACTAATTATAACTATATTTCTATTAATACTGGATAACTCAACGCTGAACATGCAAAGTGAGAATGCAACAATTAATATGATAATGATTCATTAATAATAAGACATATATAACTAAATAACTGAAATATCTGAGCTAGCATGTGTAATTCAATAACTAAAGAAATACATATCTAGGGTTGTGGAATTCATGTATATATCTGAATATTAACCTACTAATTTGATTTGCATTCTATCAATTAAGAACCTAATAATTTTAACATTAAAAAAACTGATTGAAAACTAGGTACCTAAGGGGTGAAAGGAATAAACTAGTGAAATCCCACATACCTGGTGATGAATTCCACAGACAAATCTTTTGATTTAGGGGTTGAAAATGATGGAAACTTGTTGCATTCATGAACTAGGGTTCTTGACGTTTTTCTCCTCTCTTATTTCTAATTTTCTATGTTTTAATTAATGATTTGACTTAGGTATGTTCTGGTTATGTTCTATGCTTATAATGATTAAAACCTCATAATTTAGCGTCTAAATGACGTACTTAGAGGTTAATCGAAATAGGAAAAGACCAAAAGACCACCGACTTAACTACCGTGGAGTGATCGATAGACCTGGTCAAAGGACCGTGGTCTTACCTACGCTTCGTAGGTCCTAGCCATTGTTTGGTTTAGAGAATGGTTCTGTGGACCAAGATCGATGGACCTGGTCCATGGACATCGGTCTCACCTATGGTCCTTCCTGTTCCTTTGTCATTTGAATTAGAAAATGAGATATGAGGACCAAGATCGATGGACTTGTGCCACGAACAATGGTACTATTTACGTTTTGTAGGTCCTGGTCCTGATTTTGGATCTTTGGGTTTTCTGTGGACCATGTTCCATGAACCTTGTCCACAGAATGTGGTCCAACTTACGATCCGTAGGTGGCTTCCGTAGCTGCTACCCACACTTCCATAAAATCTGAGTTCTGGTCTATATAGGATATGATTCTTTACAAATCTAGATGGTTGTGTTTATGATTAAAATGTCCGTGTTTGACTCTCCAAGGACCACCCTATGGTTCCTTGAGGAGGACCGAAACGTGGGCCAAAAAGATGTCAAAAAGTGCAGCCACTAACGAGCACTATTAACAGACCATCAATGCATTGACGGAGCATCAAAGGCCTCTGTAGGCTGACACTTAGTTTTTGGCATCTTAGATCTATTTAAGAACTTTTAGTCACGATAGACTGACAACCGCATGGGCCATCAAAAATTTGACAAAACGTCAATGGTGGCCAATAATTTTAGGTGTATTTATCTATCTTAAGTTATTTAAAACACTAAAACCTAGAATTAGACTTCATTCTTTAAAAAAAAAACCTTCCCTCCCAAAAGGTTCACTCAAAACCTCCATGGAAGCTTGAGGTCACATTGGAGTTAGGATTGAAGATTTCCATTGCATTCTTCTTCAATTTTTTGGATTTCCTAATACTAAGGTATGGTGATCCTTTTTCTAGAGTTAGATTTCACTCTAGAGCCAATTCTTAAAGTTTCCCAAAAGACGATCAAAACCCTAATTCTTCCTCAAACACATGGATTCTTGAAATAAATGGTTTCAAATGAATTTTTATGTTATATTATGGTTTAATTGACGATTTGAAGTTAAAAACTCCATGAATCTATGATTCCTCAAATTCCTTGATTTTGGCTTACAAAGTGGGTTTGATCAATGTGTTTGGATATTATTAGAATTATTCTTATGTTAGGTAATATTGTTGTTATTTATTGTTTTCCATGCCTGATTATTGTTAATTATTTGAGAATTGAGAAAAAGTGATCGTCTTAGATGAAGGGTAAGTTGACCTAAATTGCTCTAGTTTTAGTGAATTGTTCTTGTGTGGTTTGATCCACCTATGAAGGCGGTGTTTAGTTATTGTATATGTATTTTTGTATGGTCTAATTGAAGGTATTGGATGTTAATTGAGGTAATTTTATGATTCATATGTATAGAGATGTATTATGAAGTTATCTATGTGATTCTTGATGATAGTATATGACTATTAGATTATAATGTGAATGTTAAGTATCTTTGTGTGTGGAATATGATGAATAGAGTATGATCATGTTTAGAAGAAAATTTCATGAATGGTGGTGGTTATGTGAAGATTATTTCTCACATATGTACACATACATGAATAAACAAATGAAAGAAGCTAATGAAAATGTAATGAATGTGAGTCTATTGAAATGTTCCTTCAATTGTACTTTAATGAATGAATGGGGGACTTTGAGGTGGATACTTCTATGTGAGTAGAGGTGTAGTTTCTAGTAACAACCTCAATATTCCTAAGACTTTCCAATGAATGAATGATCGATTTGAATGACTATTCCTCCAAGATTAGATATAGAGTAGTTAGAGCAATTCCTTAACCTTTAGTTAATGAAAGTAATGAAAGTCTAATACTCCATGGGAGAGTACTGCTGAGTACCGAGATGATATGAAATGGGGTGGATACTTATTGTGAGTAGAGGTGTAGTATCTAGTAGCAACCTCTTGAGATGGGTACCCTCCATGAGTAGAGGTTTAGTATCTCGAAGCAATCTTCCCATCCCTTAACTATGTTCTCACATAGGACTAGCTAGTGGTTTTCTATGTAAAGGATGAACGAATGACCCTACCTTAGGCAAGTGGGGATCCCTCATCCGATAGGGGTTAATACTGGGAGTACATGATAAGCTCTCATGGTCTATATCAGTTAAAGCTTACCCCCACGAAGAATGAAATGAACTAGGTCTTCCTAAGGGTGTATTATATAAGGTAGCTTGTGGAATGGGACGACATCTATGCATTGTAAAAGTAGGCATTTTAAGGGGTTCTTGGTATACCGTTATAATGTTAATGAATGAATAGGTTTCTAGATTATGTTAAAGAATGTTGTTAGTCTTATGTCTAATGTTAATGAAGGTATTATGACTTTATGAATGTGATGTGCCTAGTCTAGGGTGGTTCCAAAGGAGCAATAAGTGTGTGTAGTAGTATGAGATGATACTTTCACATTGCACTAGTGTAACTTAGATTTATCCTAGGAAATGGTTATGTGATTTTCCTTAAATGCATGAATGTCTCCTTTAATATATCTAGTAATGAATGTTGAATTGTTGGGGTGTGTTGGAAAGGAAATATCCTTACTTAGGATAGTCTTGAGGATCATATAGGTGTGCATGAAGAGATTGTATGGGTGGCCACTTTATGTCTTACTTAGGTGGGTCTTAGGATAACCTTAAGTAGATGGTATAAATGGTTAAATGGGTTACTTAATGAATATGGTCATATCTTGTGCGATATTAAGATGTGTCTAAGCTGGCTTGTGTCGAGACTTAGTTCTTCTTATGTTTTATAAAAGAGTTTCCACTTATTGACTTTATTATGAAAAGTTTGAATTCCGCACTACTTTTCATACCTATGTGATGAATGAATTCTAAGAGGCTTGTATAACACCTCTTTGAGGTCGAATACGCTGGTTACGACTAGGGGTGCTCTGGGGTTGTGACAATTGTTACCACTCAATGAATCTATTTTCTTTGGGGTGAAACATCTGTATGAATGAGCTGAAGTTTTTGGTTAGCTCCATACTTGATTTACTTAAAATGAAAATTTTGTTTTCTTTTCCTATTGGCAGGTTTCACAAGCATGAGCATTA